GGTGGTCCGAAATGTGTGGACCTCCCCAACCCTCGCCTGCTTTGTCGAGTGCGAGTGCCAAAAAACTGCTGCATATGTATATAGGTACGTGCAGAGGTACAGTAGGTAGATGTTCACACTAATATGAAATGCTGCTGCTGCTGCTGCTCCTACTACTACTACTACTACTACTACTACTACTAAATAATACTATACTATACTATACTACTACTACTACTACTACTACTACTACTACTACTACTACTACTACCACCACCCCTGCTGCTGATGTCGCTGCTTCTACTGCCACTGCCACTGCTAGTGCTGCTGCTTCTTCTATTGGTTTAGCGACTGCTAGCCTTTCTGCTACATCGTGCCAGATGGACATACTACTACCACGGCGACAACTACTACTGCCACTACTGCTGCCACCGGCGCTCCCACCACCTTTGCCAGTACCGCTTTCTCCACGACTACCTTGGTTGCTCTTCGTTGAGTCCGTTCGAAATCTGTCAACGACAGCTTCCGGGCCACGTTTTGCTGCTTGTCGAAGCCCCTGGACGAGATATTACAGGTCTTGTTGACACAGAAACTCTACACCCGAGCACCGCGCTTCTTGGAGTCTCTGCAGCCTCTGGTACATACCTCAGACATACGACAAAGAGCTCGGAAAAGAAGGGCCCTCAAAAGTGCTGCCTCCAAGGCGCCTCCGGTGGATCTGCCCTTGCGGCCAGCAGCGGCCTCAGCCTCCTCTTAGCCGACGGCTTGGCCTGTGTTTTTGCTGTCGCATGCAAAAAACTGCGTAACAATCTCAAAACCCTTTCTGACCCCTGGCTCAAGCGACAGCTGCGGGACTCAATTAGGTTCACTCCCGGCCTGAGGCCCGACGATGAACGTCTCGGAGGCAGCGCTTCAAGAAGCCCTCAGACGGGTCGAGCACATACTGCGAGACCTCGTCCGCCAGGAGGCGTCGGCCTCCACGCACACTCCGCGCGTCACCTTTTGTCTCGGTGATGACGGTGAGCATCTCGTAGATGGCGAGGAGTGTGGACAGGACTCCAAGGGCGTCGCGCCGTGGGGTGAGACGGTGACATCAAGCATTTTCAATTCCTCCAAAGATAGCATCGCTCAGCCTCCCCGAAGCCAAAGTCAGATTCCTCTTCCTGGTTCCATGCCACAGGCATTAAGCGGACCACAGGGGAAGTTGTCGGTGGACGGCAGACTAGGCAGGCAGTCATCGGTGGACAGCAAGCTAGGCAGGCAGACATCGGTGGACAGCAGGGTGTTGAATGGCTTTTCATCATCCGGGCAGCAGCGGCAGGCATCGGTGGACAGCACGGCGTCTCAACAGGCCAATGCTAAGTGGGTGAGACAAGTCTCATGGATGGCTGAAAGGTCCAGGAATATTACGCAAGCCATGAGCTTGGATGACGCCGATGCCGACATCCCAAAGTTCCAGGCACATGACCTTTGGCAGGAGAAAGATGACGTCATTTCCTACCGCAGTTCGCGCAGACCAAGTGTGTGCACAACAAACCTTCTTCTCCTTTCTAGGCACAAGACTTCCTTCAGCCCGCTCGTGCTGGAAGGTTGGTCGGCCATAGCCATGTCGATGATCTTCATGGAAGGATTCAGGATTCCTTTGCTTGCCTTTCCCGGGGACACTCTCGCAGTGATGGATTTGCTGGTGCTCATCTTCTGGCTCAGCAGCGTTCTGGGCGCATGTCTGATGAGACGGGGAGAGCCACGAAGCATTCGGTGGCTAGCATGGCTTTCACTGGAGACCCTCTTTGCTGCTGCAACTGCATACATGCTGCTTGCAAGCACGGTGCCCTTTGCAGTGCTGCTGAGAGGTCTGCCACTGCTTCGCATTCTCTACATCCACGTGTTGTGGGACTGCTTGTCTGCTCGGCATCTTCGACCCTGGATCCAGAGACGAAGCCTCGAAGCGCGCTTCTTTGGGAATTTACTTCTTGCGGTGCTCACTGGTGCATTGCTACTCCACATTGTGACGTGCACGTGGTATGCAGTGGGAGATCGTCCTAGTGGGTGGGTACGAGATCAGGGCTTCGAGAGTGTTCCACAATCAGTCCAATATCGCATTGCTGCAGAGTGGGCGCTTTCTCGACTTCCACCTTCGCGAATCCCTGACAATATGCTCTTGAATACCCTGGAGGAACGAGGAGTGGCTGTGCTGGTAACAACCCTGGCTATGGTCTTTGCTTCCATTTTCACCTCCATCGTCACGAATGACATGTCAGACATTCGCCGTGCCCGCGCAGCGCAAAGGAAGTCGCATGATCAGCTTTCCAAATACCTCGCAACGTATCCGGTACCCTGGGACTTGGAGAAGGAGCTGCAGGCATACCTTCACCGAAACCAGTCCCTGGCTCAGCCGCCGCAAAAGCGAGAGATGGCATCCTTGCTTCCGGCTTTTCTATACCGCGAGCTGTGCAGAGAAGCGCTTTCGCCGGTCATAGCGAAACACGATTTCTTCTCTGACCTCAAGTTCCGCTACCCTTCCTTCCACATGGACCTTTGTGTGGAATGCCTCAGCGAATGGCACTTGGCGTCGGAAGAGATCTTGTTTTCCAACGGTCCACTTTGTCACAACATGATGTTTGTTGCCAGTGGCGAGGTGGCCTACCGCAAGCTCTCGTCGGAGTTTGCGACTTCACCCCTGAGTGCTCGGAATGAGTTGCTGCAGCAAGTCAAAGGAATGAGTGTTGTACCCACAGCAGCATCTGCGACGATCGTCGAGGAGAAGCTCGGCTTTGGCGACTGGATTTGTGAGCAGTGTCTTTGGACTGAATGGCATTTTCTTGGCACGGCCGTGTCGACACAGGGAGCCACAGTTCTATGTCTTGCTGACGAGACACTGATGAGGTATGCAGGTCTGCACAAAGAGGTGATGGCCGAACTTGTTATCTATTGCAGGATTTTCGTCGAAGTCTTGAACGGCGTGGCCGATGACGACTTGACGGATCTCCACATTTCCATGGAGGATGCTCGGCGCCCTTGATGCTGCCTGACCCAACCGTCAAGGTTTCTGATAACTCACCGGAGGCATGGCCTTTTGAAATTTGCCGACATGTTTCCGGGATTGTGAAATTTCGGTAATTCAATCTTTCATTTTCCTTTGTTACAATTCCAATAACGACGAGGAAAAGGGGGCAGGTGCGGCATGCAGCAGCAGAACTTCTGCATGCCATAGCCACAACATTTTCCCGAGCGGCAAACTGCCGCAGCGATGAAGCTGAAAGCCTTGCCTACAAGCCTCGAGTTTCCTGCAACACGATCGCCGTGCACAAGCCGGTTTGGGCTTAGCTAGTTCAGCCATGTGTTTTCGATGCTCGGTTTGTTTTTTTTTGAATTTGTGATTTGTTCATGAGAAAATCCATCGCAATTTTGCAGACAGGCGCCGTGTGGCCAGAACGTTTGAAGACTGATTTTCCCGACTTGCCTGACTAGCCATCGCGAGACAGTAGAGCCGAGGCGCGAGGTTCTACGCAGCTTCTCTTGCCAAACTTCAGATGAGTGTTTTTCTTGATGCTCCGCTCTCTGGCTTGACTTGACTAGCTCTGACCGCTAGGACCAAGAGTTCGTGGGTGCATGTTTTTTTTTTCAAGTCGCTTGGAGCGATGCTCGCGACTCAGTTTTGACCGAGGCATTGAATTTTTTGATGCTTGCTATCGCAAGCAACTCCGTTTAAAACTCTTTCAGAATGCAAGAACATGTGAGAGCAAGGCTCCGTTTGGAAAGACCAGAGCCTAAAGGCCCCCATGAGTGCAGAATTGCATTTCGATAGGGAGTCGTCCAATCCTGTCCTGCAAGGTCAGCTCGGATTTTTAAGGGGAGCAATGCAGGGGTCGGAATAAAGACTACTGGTGTCCAGTTATGGTCCCGAGGTGGAAAATGACATCATACCCGAACTAGTGATTAGAACCCCTAAATTCCTTCGCCGGAGTTGCTCTGCAGAAATCCTGGCAGGGGGCTGTCAGATTTTGGATGTGGCAGCTCACATGGCCGAAGGCCATCATAAGACGCCTGCTTGAAACCAAAAGCAGCAGACCGCCAAAAAGGGCACATATTGAATTTGGTTTAGGAGTTCTTGTTGCGATTGGATCAGTCGTCTCTTGGCCACTGCTGCATGAGATTGAGTTCTTTGGTTTCTGCTGGTGTGTTGTTGGCGTGATTGCTATTTATGATGCTATGTTATTTTTTGATGGGGTTGGTTCTGGCCTGAGTTTGTTCGTTTTGTTCGGAGGTTGGTAATCAGCGAGAGTTGCTGTGCCGAGCGAGACCTGTCGTGAAGCCTTACTCACAGCGAGCGCGAGAGTCGCAACCCCCCAACACACCGAAATACTAATCCCTCAACCCCTTCGCTTCCCTCTTTCGACATCCTTGTAATCCTAAACCTCAGATAAGCCCGAAACCCTCGGGTCGGCAAAAAGCCCTAAAGACCTTACTTCAGCCTCACAGTGGCCCCGGGAGTTGTGGAGACCCGCAAGGCCACCGGCAGCGTCCAGTCCTTCCGCTCACAGCGATCGAGGAGGGGCTCCTTCTACGGTTAAAAGTGTAGGGGTTTAGGAGTTACATGTCTACAGTAGGGGAGCAAGGCAGGAATATTTTGAGCATGTATCTGTAACAGAGTATGTAGACTAAAAGAACTAACGCCAAGAGTATGAAGTTTGCACGATATAGTATATGAGTGCATAAACATGGAGTATACTCTATAATTTATGCTGTATAAAATGCACAGTCGAGAATAGATAGAAGTTCCTCAAAAGGGATCAGTAGTTTTCAGTTCATGCTATGCAGTAAGTAGTACTGTAGATAGTGTAGTATATATGAGATATCACAAGCAATGTTTACTACACAGTATTTGTTGCATGGTACGCAACATATTTTATGCAAAATGTCGTTCATAGCACGTAATCTGTAATGTGAAATAGACAGTACAGAAAATAGAGTCTGCAATATACAGTATAAATCACACTGTACAGAACCCATGAGTTACAAAATCGTTGATTAGATATTATATAACGTTTAACCTTGAATATATAATATTTGCTGTAGAAACGATCTAGGGTATACAGCATAGAATATAGAATGCACGCAGCATGCTACATAATGCTGAATATAAAAGTTTCTTCCAATTAGTTACAACACAAAGGGTATACTCTATAAATATGTGCTATGATATTAAATCTCGGGTTTCAGTATATGATGTAGATTGTTGTAATACGTAATATGTAACATGTTTCAAAGGTCACGTCTACGTAGTTTATAGCATATAAAACCAAATATGACATGTACATGCACGCACGTAGAATCCAACTGCGAAATCAACCTGATATTTCAGTCATGGGGTAACAACGTGAGGTAGTTTGCTAAAACACAAGATAGCATAGTACGTTCACTCAACCAAAACATATCGTGAAAAACAAAAAGCTGCAATGTACAACGTACAACGGGTGTGATTTCGGTGTGATATCAATGGATGTAGAGTATGTACGTAATCATCTTGTGTATGTATATATATATATATACACGTGAAAATCTACAAGGCGATGTACTGCAACATGTGGTATTAGAACGCGACAAGATGTACACGGATGCATAACTGCATACAGAACCGCTTGCATCAAGCATGCATACATGCGTACATAAACGCACAAATGTACACACATACAGAACCATATGCGGTATATACACGTACTTGCATACATACACAAGCATACATGCATACGTATATATGTAACTACATACGTACGTAAATACAAACATGCATATGTATATGCGTACATGCATACATACGTAAATACATACA